TTGAACTTTGCAAATGAACATATAGACAAGCCTGATGCATTTTGGAAACAAGTTCTGTGGTCCGATGAGGTTAAAATTTAACTTTTTGGCCGGAATGAGCAGAGGTACGTTTGGAGAAGAAGAAGGGGCACAGAATTTAATGAAAAGAACCTCTGTCCAACTGTTAAGCATGGGGTTGGATCAATCATGCTTTGGGGTTGTGTTGCAGCCAGTGGCACAGGGAACATCTCACGAGTAGAAGGAAAAATAGATTCAATAAAATTTCAGCAAATTTTGGATGGTAACTTGATGCCATCTGTGAAAAAGCTGAAGTTAAAGAGAGGATGGCTTCTACAAATGGATAATGATCCTAAACACACCTCGAAATCCACGGGGGATTACATCAAGAGGCGTAAACTGAAGGTTTTGCCATGGCCTTCACAATCTCCTGACCTCAACATAATTGAAAATCTATGGATAGACTTAAAAGAGCAGTGCGTGACAGACAGCCCAGAAATCTCAAAGAACTGGAAGACTTTTGTAAGGAAGAATGGGCAAAGATACCTCAAACAAGAATTGAAAGACTCTTGGCTGGCTACAAAAAGCGTTTACAAGCTGTGATACTTGCCAAAGGGGGCAGTACAAGATATTAACTCTGCAGGGTGCCCAAACTTTTGCAGACGCCATTTTTTTGTTTTCTGTTATTTTGAAAGTGTAAATGATGGAAATAAAATCTAACTTTTGTTGACATATTATAAGAATGTCTAATCTGTAATTTGATGCCTTTTGGAGATTTTTCTTTCCTGGCTTCTTTATGCACATTAATACAAATTTTTAGCTGGGATGCCCAAACTTTTGATCCCCACTGTACATGTATTTTAACAGAATAAACATTTTACAAATGTTTGTTTTTCTCTCACTGGTGGCCACAATTGTATAATGTTATTTTTAGATTTCTAAAAGTTCTTGAGCCATTGTTTCATATGTGGTAGCAACATCTATAATTAAAAATGTAATTGTGTAAAAAGTAAGACACCCAAAACTTGCACACAACACCAATTGCAAACAAAAATTCCCCATTTCTTTAATAGCGATTTGCCTGAGACACGCACCTTCTAAAATTGCACATTATTACATGGTATTCTGTTATTATGTCAAATTCCCTTTTTATTATCGGTACCTTCTTACCTCTAGGAAAACAAAAGTATATATGATAGTCTATCAATAGGATTTGCTGTTGTGTCATGACATGATATGTTGTCTGTCGATATTATTATTACAGGTGCTTGTATAGCACTGTCAATTTACAAAGAACTTTATATATATATGTATATGTATATATACAGTCAGGTCCATAAATATTGGGACATCGACACAATTCTAACATTTTTGACTCTATACACCACCATAATGGATTTTAAATGAAATGAACAAGATGTGCTTTAACTGCAGACTGTCAGCTTTAATTTGAGGGTATTTATATCCAAATCAGGTGAACGCTGTAGGGATTACAACAGTTTGCATATGTGCCTCCCACTTGTTAAGGGGCCAAAAGTAATGGGACAATTGGCTTTCAGCTGTTCCATGGCCAGGTGTGTGTTATTCCCTCATTATCCCAATTACAATGAGCAGATAAAAGGTCCAGAGTTCATTTCAAGTGTGCTATTTGCATTTGGAATCTGTTGCTGTCAACTCTCAAGATGAGATCCAAAGAGCTGTCACTATCAGTGAAGCAAGCTATCATTAGGCTGAAAAAACAAAACAAACCCATCAGAGAGATGGCAAAAACATTAGGCGCGGCCAAAACAACTGTTTGGAACATTCTTAAAAAGAAGGAACGCACCGGTGAGCTCAGGAACACCAAAAGACCCGGAAGACCACGGAAAACAACTGTGGTGGATGACCGAAGAATTCTTTCCCTGGTGAAGAAAACACCCTTCACAACAGTTGGCCAGATCAAGAACACTCTCCAGGAGGTAGGTGTATGTGTGTCAAAGTCAACAATCAAGAGATCCTCAGTCCACTTCCTGTTCAGCTGCTAGAAGAACACCAGTGAAGACCTCCTTCCTTGCTTTGATACGCATACACCTGGGGTGATTGTTCCTACAACTGAGGTTTAAAAGTTAGATTGTCTCTGAGCAAAGGATTGTTTGACTCCAAGAAACCCATTCCTGTGTTGGCGGCATCAGAATTCATTGAGGAGGAGGACTTGAGAAGGTGGTGACCCCAGGAGGGGAATTAGGAGATTCCTAGAGAGCTGGTCAAAATATCTATTTATGAGCAGCTGCACAAGGAGAAAGAGGAGAGCACAGGAGGATCCCTATAGATCCACACCCATCTTCTGGAACATCTTACATAAGAGTATCATCCCATCAATCCTGGAAGGATTAAAAGCTTATTTGCCTGAATTTATTTAGGCAAATACTAAGGTGAGCGCATAGGGAGACCACTAAGCACCCGGCGAGAGGGAATAAGGAATTCACCTGCACATTGCACTTATTTGAAAGACTTTTTACTTTATTTTATGAATTTTATTGTTTTATGCACTTGCACATTTATGTATCACATCTTTTGCACAGATATATTTTGATGGAGTGATACACATCAGATCAGAGTGGGGCAATTGGATACAGATTTAGGATTTTATTTATCTTAGTTTGTATAATGTATGGCATCCTTTTACAGTCACATTTAATTAAGGATTTTTTTGATTGATTGATATCAGTCACATTAATGAAGGTTGTTGATCTATTCATATTTAAATTTATTTATTTTTAATTGATTTACCAGTCATAGTGATTCACAATTGATCTATCATTATTTATTATTTATTATTGATTATTTTTATTCACCAGTCACAGTGATTTATGTATTGTTTCAGATATCAATTCATGTACCCCAAGGATTAAGTTACCTATATAAGTAAATAGGAGCGCGGCACTATAAATTTATTTATAATATTGTATATACACAATCAAGAGAAGACTTCACCAGAGTGAATACAGAGTGTTCACCACAAGATGTAAACCATTGGTGAGCCTCAAAAACAGGAAGGCCAGATTAGAGTTTGCCAAACGACATCTAAAAAAGCCTCCACAGTTCTGGAACAACATCCTATGGACAGAGGAGACCAAGATCAACTTGTACCAGAGTGATGGGAAGAGAAGAGTATGGTGAAGGAAAGGAACTGCTCATGATCCTAAGCATACCACCTCATCAGTGAAGCATGGTGGTGGTAGTGTCATGGCGTGGGCATGTATAGCTGCCAATGGAACTGGTTCTCTTGTATTTATTGATGATGTGACTGCTGACAAAAGCAGCAGGATGAATTCTGAAGTGTTTTGGGCAATATTATCTGCTCGTATTCAGCCAAATGCTTCAGAACTCATTGGACGCCGCTCCACGGTGCAGATGGACAATGACCCAAAGCATACTGCAAAAACAACCAAAGAGTTTTTTAAGAGAAAGAAGTGGAATGTAATGTAATGGCCAAGTCAATCACCTGACCTGAATCCGATTGAGCATGCATTGCACTTGCTGAAGACAAAACTGAAGGGAAAATGCCCCAAGTTCAAGCAGGAACTGAAGAGAGTTGCAGTAGAGGCCTGGCAGAGCATCACCAGGGATGAAACCCAGCATCTGGTGATGTCTATGCGTTCCAGACTTCAGGCTGTAATTGACTGCAAAGGATTTGCAACCAAGTATTAAAAAGTGAAAGTTTGATTTATGATTATTATTCTGTCCCATTACTTTTGGTCCCTTAACAAGTGGGAGGCACATATGCAAACTGTTGTAATTCCTACACCGTTTACCTGATTTGGATGTAAATACCCTCAAATTAAAGCTCACAGTCTGCAGTTAAAGCACATCTTGTTCGTTTCATTTCAAATCCATTGTGGTGGTGTATAGAGCCAAAAATGTTAGAATTGTGTCAATGTCCCAATATTTATGGACCTGACTGTATATGATGAGTGGAATACCACATCTGAAGCCTATGTCCAGGATCTGTCTGTGTGTGGTGGCTCTTGATGCACTGACTCCAGCCTCAGTCCACTCCTTGTGAAAGTCCCCAACACTTTTGAATGGCCTTTGCCTGACAATCCTCTCCAGGCTGCGGTCATCCCTGCTACTTGTGCACCTTTTTCTTCCACATAACTTTCTATTAATGTGCTTTGATACAGCACTTTGGGAACATCCAATTTCTTTTGCAATTACCTTTTGAGGCTTTCCCTCCTTATGAAGGGTGTCAATAATGGTTTTCTGCACAACTGTCAGGTCAGCAGTCTTTTTTCATGATTGTGATTCCTACTGAACCAGACTGAGAGACCATTTAAAGGCTCAGGACCCCTTTGCAGGTGTTATGGCTTAATTAGCTCATTAGAGTGGGACACTTTGAGCCTAGAATATTGCACCTTTTCACAATATTCTAATTTTATGAGATTCACAGCTTGAACTATCTTGCTTTGCATGTAATGAGTCTTATCTCATATATTAGTTTCACCTTTTAAGTTGCATTACTGAAATAAATGAACTTTTGTAGAATATTCTAATTTTTTGAGTTTCACCTGTATATACACACTATATTGCCAAAATTATTTGGACACCCCTCCAAGTCATTGGAGTCAGGTGTTCCAATCACCTCCATGGCCACAAGTGTATAAAATTAAACACCTAGGCATGCAGACTGCTTCTACAAACATTTGTGAAAGAATGGGTTGCTCTCAGGAGCTCAGTGAATTCAAGTGTGGTACCGTGATAGGTTTCCACCTGTGCAATAAGTCCTTCCATGAAATTTCCTTGCTACTAAATATTCTTTGACCCTGAGGAAGTCACGTGACCAGTGACATAACCCTTAGGGAGGAGCCTAGTGGCATCACTTCTGATACCGTGGAAACTGGAAGTGGTACTGCAGGAGCAATTTTGATTAACCGCCTCCTGCCCACCATATAAGGAAATGATGGGCGCAAGGCGGTTCTCTCATTCTGGGAGGACATCATATGATATCCTCCCACTCTAACCGCACGTGCGCTGCTCCATAAGCGTGCAGCACGGAGATCGGTGGTGAGCTGTGTCCCTCAGACACAGTGGATCACCGATCAATGGAATGAGCCATAGGTGTCGACTCTGTCATGTGATCAGCTGTGTCCAATCACAGCTGATCATATGTAAATAAGGAAATGCCAGTTATCGGCATTTCTCTTCTCACAAGCTGTCAGGTTGACAGCTCGCGAGGAGAGGAGAGCCTGTAATCGGCATTCCTCAGAGGGGACATGTACACTGATCATCAGGGCGCTGATGATCAGTGTGCCCTGATGATCAGTGTAGTCCCATCAGTGTCACCTGTCAGTGTCCATCAATGCCACATCTGAGCTGCCTTTCAGTGCCACCTATCAGTGCCAGTCAGTGCCGCCTATCAGTGCCCGTCAGTGCTGCCTATCAGTGCCTCCTAACAGTGCCAGTTAGTGTCGCCTATCAGTGCAAGTCAGTGCCGCCTATCTGTGCCACCTATCAGTGCCGCCTATCAGTGCCATATATGAGTGCTGCCTTTCAATGCCCATCAGTGATACCTGTCAATGCCCATCAGTGCCACCTACCAGTGCCTCCTCATCAGTGCCCCTATCAGTGCCACCTATCAGTGCCCATCAGTGCCCATCACTTCAGCCTCATTAGCGCATATCAGTGAAGGAGAAAAATCACTTCATTATAAAATTTTATAACAGAAACTAATAAAAAAACTTTTTTTTTCAAAATTTTCAGTTGTTTTTGGTTTGTTTAGCAAAAAATAAAAAACCCAGAGGTGATTAAATACCACCAAAAGAAAGCTCTATCTGTCTCAAAAAAATGATAAAAATTTCATATAGGTACAGTGTTGCATGACCGTGCAATTGTCATTCAAAGTGTGACAGCGCTGAAAGCTGAAAATTGGCCTGGGCAGGAAGGGGTATAAGTGCCCGGCAGGCTAGTGGTTAAGGGAATCAGCTTTCCTTTTGGTTTTTAATCTGTGAGTGTGATATTTTACTTTAGTAAATGATTGTATGTGTATACGGGGTTGCACAATGAATGATCCTTTCTTCTTTTGAGCCTATACTCATCTGGGTGGATACAGGAAGATAACCATCCCTTAAAGGGACAGAATGAGTGAAGTAGCTGCAAAGAGGTGAAAGTTAATACACCAAGTGGGATGCATTTCAAGCAATTGTGACTAATGATTATATGGGTCTAATGAGAAGGTGAGTGTGCATTGCACCTAGTGGTGATGGGGTATTGAGCATGCTTTGGAGGTGTTTGAGAATCGCCACCACTCACAAGAGAGGATATTTTGCTTGGATGGGCACATTTTTACTACGCTTTTATGTGAGTGCACTTATTAAGGTTATTCACTTTATAGCAGTCATACGGTGTTGCACTATGAAATATAAGTTGTTTTTTTTTTAGTGCATTCTCCAAATCTTTGGAGCCATCAAGGAGAATCCAGATGGAAGAGTTGGCCTGAATTAATATCATGGATTAACACAGCATATTTATCCCATATTTTGATTTGTAGGTCTCATCACAAAGTGAGCAAGTTTTTCACTCAAAGGAAGGAAAGTATGTTATTTGTTTGCACAGCATCGAATTTGTGACAATGGACTATATACACCATTATGGACTTTTTTTTGTATTTACTAACGGACATATTTAATTACTTTGTGTGTATATATATATATATATATATATATATATATATATATATATATGTATATATGTATATATATATATTATCAAGAGACTTTAAGAGGTAGCACACCACATGGTTGGTATGTATACCGTAAGATGGGTTGCCACCTGTGCAGTAAGTCCATCCATGAAATGTCCTTGCTACTAAATATTTCACGGTCAACTGGTAGTAGTATAACAAAGTGGAAGCAACTTGGAACAACAGCAACTCAGCCACAAAGTGGTAGGCCATGTAAAATGACAGAGCGGGGTCAGTGCATGCTGAATTGTACAGTGCGCAGAAGTCGCCAACTGTCTGCTGAGTCAAAAGCTAAAGACCTCCAATCTTCGTGCAGCCTTCAGATTTGCACAACAACAGTGTGTAGAGAGCTTCATGGAATAGGTTTCCATGGCCGAGCAGCTGCATCCAAGCCTCATATCACCAAGTGCAATGCAAAGCATCGGATGCAGTGCTTGTAAAACATGCCGGCACTGGACTCTAGAGCAGTGGAGATGTGTTCTCTGGAGTGACAAATCACGCTTCTCTGTCTGGCAATCCAATGGACATGTCTGAGTTTTGTGGTTGCCAAGACAACGGCATTTACCTGACTGCATTGTGCCAAGTGTAAAGTTTGGTGGAGGGGGGATTATGGTATGGGGTTGTTTTTCAGGGGTTGGGCTTGGCCCCTTAGTTCCAGTGAAGGGAACTCTTAAGGTGACACCATACCAAGACATATTGGACAAGTTCATGCTCCCAACTTTGGGAACAGTATGGGGATGGCCCCTTCCTGTTCCAACATGACTGTGCACCAGTGAACAAAGTAAGGTCCATAAAGACATGGATGAGCGAGTTTGGGGTGGAAGAACATGACTAGCCTGCACAGATTCCTGACCTCAACCTGATAGAACACCTTTGGGATGAATTAGAGTAGAGACTTCAAGCCAGGCCTTCTCCTCTGACATCAGTGCCTGACCTCACAAATGTGCTTCTGGAAAAATGGTCAAACATTCCCATAGACACACTCCTAAACCTTGTGGACAGCCTTCCCAGAAGAGTTGAAGCTGTTATAGCTGCAAAGGGTGGGCCAACTGAATATTGAACCCTATGGACTAAGACTGGGATGCCATTAAAGTTCATGTGCGTGTAAAGGCAGACGTCCAAATACTTTTGGCAATATACTGTATATATAGTGCATTCACATCAGTCCCTGCCCTCAAGGAGCTGAGAATCTAAGGTCAATAACTCACATTCATACTTACTAGGCCCAATTTAGATAGGAGCCAATTAACCTACAGCATGTCTTTGGAGTGTGGGAGAAAACCAGAGTACCTGAAGGTAACCCATGCAGGCACAGGGAGAACATGCAAACTCCATGCAGGTGATGCCATGGTTTGGGTTTGAACCGAAGACTCTAGTGCTGCCAAGCAGAAGTGATAGCCACCATGCTGCCTATATGATTTCAATGTAACATTACCTGAAATAGAAAAGGTTATTTTGATATCATTATATAAAATATAAATAGTTTAAAAAAAATGAATATAACACCTTTGTGTTTTCTGAGAGCATCTTTTTTCCTGAAATTGAGTTACGTGATTTTTTGTTAAATTTGCATTATCAATTAAAGAAAAGTCTACAGGCTTATCTGCATGATTGCAAATAAGTAACTGTGAAAACATTTTCTCCTTATTGTGAATAACAAGTGAACTATGTAACCCAGCAGGTGTTCCTTACATCATCCTGCCCATATAGTTAAGCATTATAAACACAAAGTAATATAAAGACATGACTCGTTTATGACTTCCTCCTTTGGACAGATTTTTCTAATTGGTGAAAGCCTGAATAAGTTGACAGTTTATTCAGTATTGAGTGGCATTCTGTTATCCATCTGAAGTCTGAGGACAATATATTTAAATCTGTTAACTGAGCATTTCTTGTGAAAAAGGGTTTGCTCAAGGTCATACGGAGGTGATGTGAAGATAACAGCTTTTCCTAAGTTCATTTTTGTGTCTTGAACAGAAGTAGGCACTTTTAAAACAGAAAATCTGCTTATGTAGTCATTTAAATGTCTGCTCATTATAGATATACCCAGGGCTTTCTTTCTGCCGGAACGCGGCGGTACTGCGTTCCGCCACCTTTTTCTTCTTGTCCCCGCTCACCGACTGCCTCTGCAGAGCTGACAAGCTATGCAGAGCAGCGAAAGTGACAGGTGCCGGACGCGGCTTGTTTATGTCATGCTTGCGTGTGCCCGGCACCTGTCACTGCCGCTGCTCACAGCCGGTGAGCGGGGACATGCACGCTTCACCCCCCCCCCCCTCTACCGCCAGCGTGTAAACATCGGGGGCGCGCGACGATGGGCGAGGACACTATGCACGCTTCACCGCCCCCCCCCGCCGGCGTGTAAACATCGGGGGCGGCGCGGCGACATCAACGGCAGTGACAGCGTGGACGCAGGGGCCGTACAGCTTGGAGTAGGTAAGCTGCGCTCGGCTCCCTGTCACTGACTGCAGTATCATGTATTGCTCTAAATTTTTACTCTCTCCCCAGCCTGTGCCCACCTAAACTATCCCAACCACCTGTGCCCACCTAAACTATCTGAGCCCACCTAAACTATCCTCACCCACCTGAGCCCACCTAAACTATTTCAGAACGCAATTGCTCAGCGCTCAGCGGCGCCGATCGAGAGCGCCCCTCCTGTGCATGAGGAACAGGAAAGATAAATTCAGTGATGGACGGTATTTTTTGGAGGAAAAGGTGGCAACCCTAGGGGAGCCTGTAGGAGCAGGCACATCTACCAGACAGGGTACACATGCATGCTAGACTGATTTTATATCTATGCTGGACGTTTACAAACGGCCTGCCATGATTTTATATCTATGCATGTGTTCCTGGTGTCAGTACGGTACTGATTTTATATCTATGCGTGTGTTTCTGGTGTCAGTACGGTACTGATTTTATATCTATGCATGTGTTTCTGGTGTCAGTACGGTACTGATTTTATATCTATGCGTGTGTTTTCTGGTGTCAGTACGGTACTGATTTTATATCTATGCATGTGTTTCTGGTGTCAGTACATTAGTCATTTTATATCTATGCATGTGTTTCTGGTGTCAGTACGGTACTGATTTTATATCTATGCGTGTGTTTCTGGTGTCAGTACGGTATTCATTTTATATCTATGCATGTGTTTCTGGTGTCAGTACGGTATTCATTTTATATCTATGCATGTGTTTCTGGTGTCAGTACATTAGTCATTTTATATCTATGCATGTGTTTCATGCAGATCATGCAAGAGGCAGCCGGGGGTCCGATGACATCATTTCCCTTATATGGTATGTACGGGAAATGATGTCATCGGAAGCCCCTCCCAAATTTTACTTGCATTCCTGTTCTCTAAAGGGGTGGTCCTAGGGTTTGATGGGGGCGTGGCCAGGTTTGGGTGGGGGAGTTCCACCACCTTTCCTCTGAGAAAAAAAGCCCTGGATATACCATTATGTTGGTTTGGAAGAGTACTGCAAAATCTCATATTTGCTTTAGCTTGCATATTTAAAAAAGATTGCTTTTGCTACTGCAGGCTCCACAGTATGTAACTGCTTCCTAAATGGTTTGTTTGGGTATTGAGTATATTATAGAACAGACCTTCTCTGGTCATGAAAACTACCTGGCTTTAATTCTAAACAGAAACTCTCCAAATCTTCTGTAACAAACACAACATAGCTGATTCACTAAATAGGCCATTCACTTTGCAAGAGAATTTTCCCTACACTTAGTGAATGAGGTGAAGCTGTGCTTACTTCCATCATCAAATCACGTGAAAGCAAAACTATATTTGAATTTATACCACCATCAATAAGCTAAGGGAAAATTCC